CTATTAGCCGAAACTAGTCCGAGAGTGGCTGCAATTCATTTTTTCCGCCTCTTCTTAACCATGCTAACTGAGGAATATTCCCGAAACATCCCAAAACATCCAAAACATCTTATCCTTTGATACCATAAGTAATTTTTTTCAAAACTTATAGGCAATCGCTCTGGCGCAAGTTTACAGCCACTAATGTCCTCAGCGTATGTGCCACCTGTTTAACCGACCAGAATGCCAGCTCGGACATGTATGACGTCTTTTTGCTCTGGAGGATGTACCAGGTATGTTCCATGTTGCTCACGTATATCCATTTGGTGTCATTAATTTTCCGACAGACGACTCTGATTTGTCTTTGTATGGCGAAGCACTAAAAGTTTAGTTATTTACACAAGTATTTACCACACTAGCAGCACGGGTACTAGCTAGAAGCCCAGACACGTGCTGCGTTGTTTGCGTTCAGCCGGCATTGGTGGGATCAAGGTGACCTCGGTACCAGAATGGATTAGGAATTTGTTGCCAATGACAAGATCCCAACGAAACGAGTGGCGAGTGCGAAGATTAAAAGCGGTCCCAGTAGTATTCACCTGTACTGTCGGGTGGGATTGATTCCATGAGGTCCTAAGAGATGACTTGAAGGGGCAGGGCTGTATATGTAGTTGTGCTGCATCCCCGAATTGTTGGGGACAGGAACACATGCTACTTGTAGACCGCTGGCGGTGGGTGCGACGGACGAAGGATATCCGCCATCTTCGCTGTTCCGCAGTGGTAAAATCACAGATCCGGGTTGTCAGTCTTGTAATTACCCCTTCGAGTCGGTCCAAACGTGTGCTAGCTCTTTGGACAAGTGGGTTGGAGAGTGACTTCTCGTCTTGCGACGTCATGATGGAAATTGATGGAGGACTGTTAGTCTGAACAGAACGTCTGCGCAATTCCAGTATTCGGGAAGTCGTAAGTCGCCAACACGTGGTGACCCCGACCTGATTTGAACACACAACCTTCTGGTACACATATTCTGCCTAAAAAGGGACATTTGTAGTAAAGTGCTAGGCGAATAAGAAAAATGCACAATATTCCGGTTGATTAAAATAACCATCGTAATTTCCATTATCACGTTTCGTGAGTCGGACTATATACTGCTAGTAGCAGTTCAAATTAGGTAGGTAGTTTTTAGATAGTTGCGCAGTTATGTTAGGTGTGCAGTCTGATTGCAAGAGAGTCTCTTCTTAGGTAATTATCTGCCTCAAGATCTGCCGGATTTTCACCATTATTGTCATTTTATGGGGCAGTGTCTGTCTACCAAATGTTTTATTTGAAAATTTAAAGCTGCTACGTTTGGCAAACAGTTATACTTTTATGTGTCTTTTAAGCACGACCTAGGTTTGTGCATGAAAATAATTAATATTGATGGGATCAGGAGCGGCATGCAATATTTTTATGCATCCGATGTTCTGCATA